TGTGCTAAAACAGACAGATGAATGTGGTGTATTGCATCCTGTAGCTTTTCATTCTCGTTCATTAAGGGACTATGAAAAAAACCATGCAATTACAGAACTTGAATGTCTTGCTATTGTCGATTCTCTAAATAAATTCCATCATTACCTTGTTGGACAAAAATTCACCATACATACTGACCATGCTGCTTTAGTTTGGCTAAGAAATGTTAAAAATTTAAAAGGTAGATTATTTAGATGGTCATTATTGTTAAGTATGTATGAATATGATATTAAATACACAAAAGGTTCTGCTAATTTTGAAGCAGATTGGCTTTCGAGAGATGCAACACATTCAATTGTCCAAAGTAATAGTAAAAATAATTATGTTCATGTTTCACATTTGTTAAATTTGAGTGAAATCGTGGAAGCTCAAAGGAAAGATAACTTACAAGGTAAATTTGTTGATATCAATAATGTTTATGTGTACGTAAGAAAAATTTTACTAAAATAGTTGTTCCATTTTCGTTAAGATTAAAACTTCTGCAAAGTGCTCATGATAAATTTAATCATCTAGGAGTTCAGAAAATGATTAACTTAATAACCACTGTGTATTATTGGAACAACATAACTTCAGATATAACAAAATTTTGTAAACATTGTCATACGCGCCAATTAAATAAAAAACCGCGACAAAAAAGATTTGGATTATTACAATCCTTACCCCCCTGTTAATCAATCTTTTGACTTACTAGCAATAGATAGTATTGGTGGATTGAATTACTATAATTCAACAAAAAAATATTTAACTTTAATTATTGACCACCTTACACGCTACATTTGGGCTTTTGCATCAAAATCCATTAGCTCAGAAACTTATACAAATTTTTTGCATCAAATCCCTAAATCCTTGTTGAGTGATCGAAACGCTGCCTTTACTTCTTCTCATTTTAAAAAGTTTTTGAAGCATAATAAAATTCAACAATTATTGACAACTGCACATCACACGCAGTCAATGGCAAGGTTGAACGCCTTGGTCAAACAATAATTACGCGTTTAAAATGTAAAATTAATGAAAAACCTACTAAAACTCCCTGGCCTGTTTTGTTAAAAGATATAGTTAATACTTATAACTTAACTCCCCATTCTGTAACAAAATTTCCACCTGCATAATTCATGCATGGTAGACTCCCCTACGAAAATCCCTTAAATGAAAAAGTCTATCCAACTGTTGAGGAATCTAAAAAAATAGCAATTCAAAGAACTAGAGAATATCATGAAAGAAATAAAATTTATTATGATGCTAGATTAGTTCTGTTTGAAGAATTTACTTATCCTAATACGAGGAAGTTGTCGCTTCCTTTCAGTGGACCGTATAAAATTCTTCAAAAAATTTCAGAAGTTAAATCAGAAGTTCAGAAGTTAACAAAATAAATAAAAAGAATAATTTGAACAAACAAAATTTTGAAATAGTACATATTTCAAAGCTTAGGAAATATCACAGCCCACAAATGTTAAAATTAAATCATGAATAGTCACCAAAAGAAATTTTTTACTTTCTTCAGAGAAAGAAGTGTAATCCCTATATTTTTGAGAGATCCGAATCGCGTTGTGTGGAGATGTTTACCTCAGCATCAGTTAGGAGTGAGGGCGAAGTAACTTGAACTTTTTTTTTCTCAACACAGTGAGAAAAAACTTTCTAAACTATTTTTGTTTTATCCAGTCTGGATCTCTCAATTTCACAGTGCTTCATGAAATTCTGTTTTCCTCCATGTAAACGGGGAATACAGAATTTCATCAAGTAAAAAACCCCATTAACCACACAGAATCTTAAATTCTGATTAAATGACACTTGTTGTCCAGTTCGTTTTGCATAAAAATTTTGTATATTTTTGTGTGAAAATTTTTGAAAAGTTTTTAGAATAATTATATAAAATGTTTCATTTTTTCTTTCTGTTT